CACATAGTTTATGATTTTTATACTTTGGTAATGAAATGATGGTTTTAATAATGTTTTAAAAACGAAATTTTTGGGTTGTAGTTTTGAGATGTTACAATGTATTTGCTAAGTTCAATGACACGTGCTCTCTTGTTACTAACCCGACTTTCTATAGGAGTCTTGTTGGCGCTTTACAAATATACATTCACCCGACCACCCAACAAACATCACTTATGTCGTTCAATAGATATGTTTATACATGCATGATCCCCAAGAGCCTCACTTCACGACTTTCAAATGTGTTTGTGGTACTTTGGATCATGGTTTATAACTACATGTCTCTCACTCTCGTGGTCTGGTCGTTCGTTTACTCTGGTGTCGATTGGCCCGACTCCCCAACTACTAGACGTCCCACTTCAGGTAACTACGTTTTTCTTGGTCAAAACTTTCTCTCTTGGTCATCCAAAAGACAAGGTACGATATCTAAGTCCAGTGTCGAACCCTTGTATCCAGGTGCTGCGAATACGTTGCTATTCGGGTGTTGTGAATGCCGTTGCTGAGACGAGTTGTGTAACATCCTGACTCCCATGTATAATATTTAATTAAATTTGCATTCGTATTTCATAGCAACTCGACGAGTTCGATGCCCCAACTCGCTGAGTTGAGGAGTTAATGGCCGCATGATTTTTAGAGTCTACTCGACGAGTTGGAGGACCCCAACCCGGCGAGTAGGTGTTGAGTAAGAAAACCCTAATTTTTAGGGTTTGTGTCATGTTAAACCAAAACTACCACATGTGAAACCCAAACAAACAATCTTCATCAAAGTGGTGGCTGATGGGTCTAGGTTACGTAGAAGAAAAAATGTAGGTTAAATGAGTACCAAATCACTACAGATTTTATGGGATTGCATCCATGATTTATGAAATTTGGGGCTGATTTACGGGATTACATCTCTGGAATTCGGGGCTGATTTATCGTATAGAGTTGGAAACTTTTAATAGAGCGAGAATGAAAGGCGGATGGGATATTAGGAGGTAGAAAGGGCATTTTTGGAACATAACATAAAATATTTGAGCAAGAAAATTCGTTGTGAGGGGCTTAACAACTGCCACGTGGCAAAAACGGTTTTATTTATTAATTAAGGGAAGAGATTAGATTAGATTAGATTATATTAGATTATTATTAGATTAGATTAGATTAGAATTAGATTATAGTTAATTTTCTCTTTATTGCAACCGATGGATGAAACACATAAATTTTTACTTTGAAAAATCTTATTTTACACCTTTTTGGCCCAATGAAATGTCCCTATGTCACAATTTATCCCAACTCCAACTCTCAAATTCAATTGCTTTTGGAATCAAGTTCGTCAATATTGAGATCCAATGATCGTTTTTGGGTTTACAAGATCAGGATCGAAATTCTAAGATTCCACAAAAAAATATAATTGTAACTTATAAGTTCAAAACATGAAAAATATCTGCAATATTCAGTTTTCCTTTCAAAACCTATAAAAACTTCAAAACATTAGTCGCAAAAAAGATAAACGGTAAACCGGTAAAAAATAAAAGTCTTAAAGTGGTAGATTCAATTTTTAAAGTTTTTTATATTTTTTTTGGTTTTTTTTATTTTTTTAAATTTTTTCAAAAAAAATCAAGGGAAGGCGGAAGCAAATCTGATCGCTACCTACTATCCTAAGTATTAGTCGAGTATTTCCCTTGAAACCATATGGAATATATTGAACAATATATATAGGATACAGTACAATAGAATGGGCCGAACCCTACAAGGCAAAAGGCCAAATACAAAGGTAAAGATATATCAACAATATACACTAATATGCCCCCATAGTTTGAGGGGGGATGTTGGCGAATATTCAAACTGGATCTGAAGTCGGAGAATAGAGGATAGGGCAGACCCTTAGTGAAAATATCAACGTACTGGTAGCGAGACGGAACATGAAGAACACGGATATGGCCAATAGCAACTTTGTCCCGGACAAAATGCAGGTCAAGCTCGATGTGTTTTGTTCGTTGATGTTGAACCGGATTGGAAGACATGTATATGGCGCTAATATTGTCACAATATACGAGGGTCGCAGACCGTAAGGGATGGTGAAGCTCTAAAAGGAGGTTGTGAAGCCAAGATGTCTCTGCTACAACGTTGGCAACGCCACGATACTCGGCTTCAGCACTTGACCGAGAGACTGTGTGTTGTCGTTTGGATGACCAAGAAATGAGATTATCCCCAAGAAAGACACAGTAGCCAGATGTGGACCGTCATATGAAAGGACATCCCCCCCAATCAGCATCAGAGTAAGCAGTCATGGAAAAGACTGGGGAGGAATAGAGCTGAAGACCATAGTCGAGAGTCCCACGTAAGTAACGGAGAATGCACTTGAGAGCCTGAATATGCTGATCTCGAGGGTCGTGCATATACAAACATATCTGCTAAATGGCAAAGGAGATATCCGGTCTCGTAAAGGTCAAGTACTGTAATGCCCCCGCAAGGCTACGATACATGGTGGGGTCAGCAACTGGTGATCCGGTGGCACCAATTTTGGCGGAGGAGTCAACCGGTGTGCGTGATGGATTACAATCAGACATATTGGCACGCTTCAGAAGGTCGGTTGCATATTGCATCTGCGAAAGAAACATACCTTTTAAAGAGCGAGTGACAGAGATCCCGAGAAAGTAATTCAGTGGTCCAAGATCAGTCATGGAAAACTCTAGTCCAAGTTTGGTGATGATGCTTTGGAGTAGAGTCGTAGTGGAGGTAGTGAGCACAATATCATCAACATATAAGAGAAGATAAGCAACATCATGTCCCTGTCTAAGTATGAATAAAGAAGAGTCGGTTTTACTCTGTTGAAAACGGAGAGTAGTGGCATGTTGGGCAACGTTGAAACCATGCTCTAGGAGCCTGCTTTAGACCATATAAGGATCGATGAAGGCGACATACATGATGAGGAGCATTAGGGCTGACGAATCCAGGTGGTTGAAACATGTAAACTGTTTCTGTGAGGTGACCGTGTAGAAAGGCATTTTTCACATCTAACTGGTGAACAGGCCACTGTCTGGAAACTGCAATGCTGAGAACAGTACGGATGGTAGCAGGTTTAACAACCGGACTAAAAGTTTCATCACAATCAATACCCGATTCTTGGCTTTTACCGTTTGCCACGAGACGAGCTTTGTACCTGCTAAGAGTTCTATCTTCATTGAATTTGTGTTTAAATAGCCACATAGAACGAACAATATTAACCCCCCGGTGGTCGAGGAACAAGAGACCACGTATTATTTTTAATAAGCGCACTATATTCATCATACATGGCATTTTTCCAATGCGGGTCTTGAAGGGCATGGATGTGATTTTTTGGAATAGGTGAGAGTGTGTCAGTGTGAAGGTTCAAACGATGAATAGGTTTAACGATACTCGATTGAGAACAAGTTCGCATTGGATGTTGGGGATGAGGAGCTGTCGAGGGCAGTGTAGTGGTGGTGGTTGGTGTAGGCCGAGTTGCTGATGACGATGAGGGGGAGGTGTCAACAGCGGCAGAGGAGATGGGAGAGGGAGTTGGTGGTGTCGAAGAGGCAGTGCCCGCTGTAGTAGGTTGTTGAGGGTTGATAGAGGTCAGTGACGAGTGGCAATGGTATTTGGTTCGATGTTGGAATCAAGGAAAAGGTATGAAGGAGGGTTATTTGGTGTGACGGAAGCGTAAGGGAATGTTTGCTCATCAAAGGTAACATGACGAGAGAAAATAACCTTTTTGGTGTGAAGATCAAAACATCAAAATCCCCGGTGATTGTCGGGATAGCCAAGGAAAATGCAAGGCAAGGATCGAGGAGCAAGCTTGTGAGAAGCATGAAGGTGGGGGTAGCATAGGCATCCGAAAACACGAAGGTGATCAAATGAGGGTTGTTTGTTATATAGTTTGAAGTAGGGTGTTGAGTTGTTGATGGATTTTGAGGGGATTTGATTGAGAAGATGAGATGCCATATGAAGCGCCTCAACCCAAAATATGGGTGGAAGGCAAGCTTGAAACATTAAGGAGCGGATGAGATTGTTAATAGTGCGGAGCATGCGCTCCGATTTACCGCTTTGTTGGGACGTTTGTGGACACGAGAAGCGGAATCTTATACCGTTATGGTCAAAGAGATTGCGAAGGGTATTGTTGTCAAATTCCCCCCGTGATCACATTGAAAAGCTCTAATTTCAGTGTTGAATTGAGTTTGGACATGGGCACGAAAGTGTAAGAATTTGGAAATAGCGTCACTTTTCCGTCTCAAAGGATAAACCCAAACATAATGAGAAAAATGGTCAAGAAAATGATGTAATATTTTAGACCACTAAGACTAGCAATGGGAGATGTCCAATTATCAGAGTGGATAATATCGAAAGGAGCACCAACAATTTTATTAGAGCTAAAAAATGGAAGACAAACGTGTTTGCCTAATTGACAAGCATTGCAAAGAGAATGAGACATAGTCTTATTACAAGAAATTAAATGACTAGAAATCATAAAACGAAGCACTTCATTGCCGGGGTGCCCAAGCCTTTGGTGCCACGTAGACGGACTTGGTGACAAAAAAATTTGAGGAAAATTCTTGAGGTGATGGAAAGGGTAGAGCTTGCCAATGCTATCACAACGGATGAGGATTTTGATTGGTCAAAGGATCCTTCACAGAAAAACCATTTTTGTCAAACTCAATGGAACAATTATTATCGCGAGTAAACTTTCGTATAGAGATAAGGTTTTTAATAATATTTGGTGTGACAAGGACATGATTTAGGTGTAGCGTGCGAGAAGGTGTATATAAAATGCCACGACCCGTGTTGGTGATGGGTATTGGAGACCCGTCACCAACAAGAATTGATGAAAAAGGACGTGAATTAAAGATAGTATGTAAGTTACCCGTATTCGACGAGAGATGGTTGGTAGCGCCGGTATCCATAAACCACTCCGAGTTGGACGGATCTTGTAAATTCATTGCATGAAAAGCTTGTGGGAGGATGGTGGGCTAATCCTGGAAGTTATTTGTGGGCCAGGTAGAAAAGACAGCAGGCTGTTGGGCATGTTGTCGCTGTTGACGACTTGGTCCAGAAGAAGAGCCAGCAGCCCATGGTGGATAGGGCTGTCGATGTGCTTGTTGACCCAAGGCCCACATCTGCTGCCAATTTAGGGCAACCCAAGGAGGGGGATAATACGTGTTCCAGGAGCCCCACGCAGAATTCCCACCTGAGTTGGAGCGATGATCTTGTTGTCGCCTATCGCTGCCATGCCGACGATTATTTTGCTGTCGGCGGTCGGAGTGTTGTCGCCGGTCAACACCATCGTTTTGGCGGTCGGAGTGTTGTCGCCGGTCACCACCATCGTTTTGCCGCCGGTCTCGGTCTCCAGGGCGATGCTGATGTGACGGATTTTGAGCATCAATTCCGGCAAGAAGAGCAGTCGGAGAGGAGCTATGATCACGATGGGCTGTTGTAGATGAACGGGGACGCAGGAGGCGTGTTTCTTCAACCATCAGCATGGAGCGAGCTTGTTGGAAAGACAGAATGGGTCGTTGATGGCGAATGATGCTTGAGACATTGTCGAACTTATCTCCAAGGCCATTAATCATGTAAATGACTAGATTCTTCTCGGGCACGGGCTGATCAATGTTGGCAAGAAGGTCTGACAATACTTTGATTTTGTGGCAGTAGTCGTGAATGGACATGTCTCCGATCTCAATTGACCGGAGGTCTTGGTCGAGTTGCATTGCACTGGAGTCTTTGTTGTCTCGGAAGAGATCTTCAACACCTTTCCACAAATCATATGCTGTCATTCCGGGTTTCAAAACCATTTGGAGTAAGGATTTGTGAATAGTACCGAAAATCCAAAGCTTGACAAGATTGTCAATTTGCTCCCATTTAGAGGTCGTAGCTTGTGACGCAGGTTTGGAGATGTGGTGTTTGACACCAAAACTGATGCAACAGGCAGTAAATAGCTCACACCAGGTGTCATAATTGAGTTCTTCGAGGTCGAGGGTGATGGGAACATAGGTCCGGATGTTTGTGATACCGAAAGGTTTATCAGTAGCATCCGTATTGACTTCATCTCCAGCCATGGAGGGAAGGTAGGGCCGGCCACAGGTGAGAAAAGAAACAAAAAGGAAGGAAGAAGATAGGATCGAGAAGGAAAGAATCAAGAAGAAAAATGTCAGATATTGACTATTGGTTGTGATACCATATTAGTCGAGTATTTCCCTTGAAACCATATGGAATATATTGAACAATATATATAGGATACAGTACAATAGAATGGGCCGAACCCTACAAGGCCAAAGGCCAAATACAAAGGTAAAGATATATCTACAATATACACTAATACTAAGATCATATCCCAAATATAATCCGTATACGATCCAAATCGTTTTTCATATCTAGTATCGTAGGATCCTATGATCAACATCGCGATTTTAACAACGTTTGAACTTGGAATCAATGACTATCATAAATATGCAATTTTTCTTAATTTCGGATTAGAAATCAAGAAATTATATCCCCTCTCTCAATTGACATCGAAGCCTTCAACTACCCATAATGTGGTTTTTAAATGTTCAAATTTCAGATTTGAAATAAAATCCATTAATACATAATAATAAATAGTCTGAATTTTTATCTTTAAATATTATAATTTTATAATATTTTTTTGAATTCGCAACCATATAACACACGGGTTCAATAAACTGGTGTATATATATATATATATATATATATATATATATATATATATATATATATATGACTAAAAATATTAATATTAATAAATATTCATATTTATTGTATATAATATTTGTTAACAAATAGAAAGCTGGATAAAATAACTATTTTATAATTATGGTGCAATCAACTCTAATTTATATTTCTGAATTTTGTATTTTATTCATCATGTTTTAATTCAAATATAAGTTTTTAATTCATATGAATCATCAAACAAAAACAAAACAAGTGCTTTTTATTTGAAAACAGAAAAATCATGTATTGATTTAAGCTAATAAATAACATTAAATAACACAGTTCCATTTGCAATGACATTTCCAAAAACTCTTGCAATTACCCGAAGCTCCTAACCCAAAATTAGACACACATGTGTTCTCGCATGTACTATCTTTGCAAAACCCAGTTATTAGTGTCAAGTCTCTTTCATTGCATGCCATCAATACTTTGCATCCTGCATTTGTATAAACACAACATTAAACTAAGATCAATGTTATACCCAATAAAAATCTTTAGTATGTTATTTTAAAACAAAAAGAAAAACATTAAACTTAAGATCAATGTTATACCCAATAAAAGGTTTTAATATGTTATTTTAGAACCAAAAGAACATATAATTTAGTAGTATATCTAAGGGAAAGGAACATGTAAACAATCATTACATTTTAACTTTTATAACATATTTTCTTAGACTACATTCGACAATTACCTGTAGTAAGGATGCTAATAAGCACAATGGCAACAAAAATAGAGATGTTCTTCATAGTTAAATTGCGAGCTTTGATACGTTTATGCTTTTTGACCATGCACACTTTGAATTTATAGCCACCTAATTTATTGTATATATTTTATAAATGGCAAAATATTAATTGTAAATATCATAATTAATTAACAAAATTAATTATAATTTTAAACGGTAGAAGTCAATTAAAAGAACTAAACGTGTACACTTTTCCAATAATAAATTATCACTATATTAATTTTCATTAATTATTAAAAAATATATGAAACTGTTTATTTCATAAATAATACTCAAGCAGCGATGCAATTATTATTATGCTACATATATGTTAAACATTAGTTGTGAGAGCCATGTATTACATGAGTTAATTTAAAAAAAAATAGATATAAAAGTCTAAATATTTGAGAACTTTAACTTTATAAGAAAATAAGAAAAATAATGAATTATTAAATTTGAAATGTTTTTTTTATATTTTAAATTTAAACAAATCCTCGCTAATAAATAAAGAACTTTTTGCCATTTGTCAATTTCTTATGTATTTGGACACATGTAGTTTTGTGGCTAATTCTTACAAATTAATTTCCACTTGTCATTTTGTAGTAATTTTTGATTTTTTTCTTAATTAACTATCTAATTTTTAGGTTATAGAAAGTAATTAATGTGTCATTAATTTGTTTCCTTATATTTCAAATTTTAATATGTTTCCTTCAATATATATATTTCAAAATTGACATGTTTTTTTTAAAGTTCATTGTCATTTTAGGCAAAATGGTCTATATAAAAAAATAATCAAACTTTGTTGTTTTTTATTGACAAACTAAAAAAAATGTTATATGGTCAAAATATAATTATTTTTCTGTAGTTTGTTTTATTAATATAAATTGAATTATTTATTTATTCATCATTTTTGTATATATATTTTGAAATTTTTTTAAAAAAAATATTTAATGTTACACTTTAATATTTAATGTTTTCTTTAAAAAATATTTAAAGTTTATATCTTCATATATAATTTTTTAATCAACCCGTATAGTACACGGGTTTCACACCTACTAATTTAAATATATAAACAAAAGAAATTAACAAGCTTTAATTTGGAAATTTTAAAATTAAAAGGTAAGTCCATTAATGAAATTGATATCTATTTATTACCACATTTATTGTAATTATTACATTAAATATTATATAGAATTTAATAAAATAAAAAAACCTATAAAATGATATGTGAAAAAAATTAATTTAAAATAATCAAAAAATAATATTTTACAATTTGAATGAGAATGTGACATGTGCCAATTTAAAATAACATTATAGTTAAAATGTTTATACGCCAAGTAATAATTATTTGTTATTTTTGAGAAAATGACATAAAGTACTAAGTAATAATTAATTATTATTTCACAAACTAACCACAATATTAAAATCTTCTTCAAAAATGTCAAATGAGTCATCATTGCGGTTATTAAAAATCATTAATTATTTTGAATTTATCCCTTATTTAAAACATTTAATAAAATATTTTCTAATTTTATATCTAACATTTATATAGGAAATCTATCTAAACCTAACACTTCATTTTCGAAATATGAATATTTTTTTATTTTTTAATGATTTTCACAATAATATTAACTATTTCTTAGTGAATAAAAAAATAAGTTCAAAGTATAGAAAAAGAAAAATTTTACATTATATAATTATTTAGTTTATTTAATATTTTGATGAATGAGGATCATGAAAAAAGCAACATTAGAAGAAAAATAGTGAATTCTTAGTTTTTCAATTGTATAGTTTTTGTGTTTGTTTGTGTAAAAAAATTGATTATTTTATTGATTCTCTACCTTAATGTGACTATTTATGTATTTATCTCATTTATTTATCATTTTATTATATATGAGAAATTTTGAAAAATCATAATATTTTAGTCAAATTTATGAAAAAGTCTCAAACTAAATTTTGTTTACAGAAAATCACAAAATACCGACCAAAACTTCAAAAAAAAAATTTTTAGCCGGTTTTGCAGATGTTGTCGGTATCTTGCTCTTTTTCGTTAGTTTGGTCAAATACCGATACTTTTTTGAAAATTACTCAATAACCAAAATTTTGGGACTTTTCTGAAAATTTTTATGGAATTAATGGATATTATTATTAACAAATCATTTATTAAAATAACAAATATTTTTTATTATAAACAAATTAAATACATTTGTTACTAATTTTTAGGAATAAAACGGTGGACTAAATAGTCCTCTATTGTTTGCTGACAACTTCAAATTCTCTACGTGCCTCTTATGCATCATTATGAGTGTTATGGTGAGATGTACTATGTATATTCCTCCAATTAAATACAATAGTTGATAATATTTATTAATAATCAAATTACTTAATAAACAATCAATAAGTGTCTATTTGCTATAAGGTGTGACGTTATAAGATCATATGTTATTAGAAAATATCATTACACAATAATTCTTTAACACATAGATCAAATATCCATTTCATCAACTTGGGAGATGAATGTACAAGATCAAATATCACGATGACTTGTAAATGATTTCATCTTCTTAAACGAAACCACAATTTTGTTAGATTTTGGGTTTTAGAATAGTAATAATAACTTGAATAATTCTAGGATCGTGTTTAATGTACATTTTTCAAAATCTATGATTTCGACCTTATTGTCTGGGTATCACGAAATCTGATTTGGGATATTCCAAGAATGATCGATTTGGATTTTAGGCTTCTTCCAAACGATTAGAATTTATATTTTATTTTTCATGTATAAATTTTTATATGTCTAATTAATTTGCTTTCCTCCCCTTAAATTTTCATTTTTAAGTTTTGTCACTCTTAATAAAATTAGTAGATATTTTTTTTCCTTTTGCAATATTTTTAAAGGTTATTATTGTTTTTGGAAACTTAGGTGTTGTCTATTTTTTAAGAAGTAAAAGGTTTTACGGTCTGCGGAACACATATATAAAACATATGCAGAAGAAGATATGGACTAAATATTTGCATTCTGCAAAAGAATACTGTTTGTATTTTAATGTTTGTAGGTTGTTAAAATAAAATGAAATATAAATAAACTGGTTTTTTAAACTTAAAAAAAAAATTTAGTATTGAAATTAAATAATTCTAATTTGCAACACTAAAATATAATTCATATAACTATAATAACATTTAAAAAAAAATCATTTCATATTTTGCATTAACATGATAACCAATATTATTTTGTTTCCTGAGCTATATATTCCTAACCCGCTCCACTATCATGCCCTTAAAACAAGTAAATCTTTCAAAGAACTTAATTGGACTTATTTGTATAAAATAGTTAAAGAAATAAAATTATGGGTTAAATATAAAAGATTCGTCTTTAGTTTTTGAGTAATTTAGTCGGTTATTTAAATGATTTAGAAAATACAAAAGCATATGTTTTATGATAAAGAAATAAATAAAGTTATTTATTATTATATATATACTAAATAAAAATAAAAGAAAAAGAAAGAAAAAGGATATGTAAGTGTTTGTGAAAAAAAGAAACATAAATGTAAAGACCCAAAAATCTAAGGTAAAAATTTCATTTTTAATATAATTAAAACACCATTGTAACTTCGTTCAAAACATTGAAAAACATTTCAAATAAAACAATTATGAGAGTCCAATCCTAAAGATCACGTATTGCGGAAAACACGAGTTTATACGATGCGATCGTCTCGAGCTCTTTCATTTGAAAACTGGAGTACCTGAAACAAAAACTAAAAACCGTAAGCATGAAGCTTAGTGAGTTCCCTAAATACCACGGACCATACATATCCAACGATCCATACAAGTCATACATAACCGCAAGCCATACATATCATTCGTATATCATAATCAATAAAGGTGCTATGCGCCGCACATAGTCTTGCCATTATGCCACGAGCCACCTCGTGGTCTTTCTTGCCAGGCCGGGGGCCACAACCCTGGGTCTTACAGACAAGTGCCAAGAGCCACCTCCTAGTCTTCCATGCAACTATCACAAAGACAACTAGCATACAAACAATACTACTTAACTAATTACTTGCTAGAGTTTAGACTTCGGGCTTGCATACAGTGTGCCAGGAGCCGCCACCTGGTCTTTCATACATAATGCCAAGGGCTAACCCCCGGGTCTTCCTACAATACATAAGCCAAATGGGCCGACATTGGTACCTTCGACCCATACAACAGTGAGGAAACTCGCCTCGAATGCTGAAGCTCACTACACGAAATCCCTAGCTGCTACCCTGATGATTTCCCCAACTAACAAATACCAAAACAACATCCAATTAGCAACTGAATTCCAAACCATGATCCATAAACCAAACTTGGGGTAAATGACCATTTTACCCCTGACCCATCAAGACTCATAACCAAGGCCCAAGCCCAAAACCAACCAGGCCCAAACTATAAGATCCATAAAAGCCCATTAATTGCCCAATTTTCCAAATTGGGCCCAAGCCCTTACATGGGCCTTTCCCTAAAGCGCATTTACTTTTCTGAACCAATACACATGACCACAGCTAGCCCGACAAAGTCCATGCACTACAAGCCCAAAAGATAGCCCGAACCCGAAATGGCCAACAAGGCCCGATAAGGCCCAAATCCATCATGGACCTAACCTGAGAAGGCCCAATATCCAAAAAGGCCTAAAATACTGAATGGTCAACCCTAGTCAACTCCTGGTCTATGGTCCAAAGCCCAAAAAGTCAACAAAACGAGATGATTCAGCCAGGCCGAGTACGCCCTGCGTACTTATCTGGTTAGCCAAGCGTACACCCGTTGGGGCCAATACGCACAGCGTACCAGGTGGGTACGCCCAGTGTACTCCCCTGGATTCCAAACTTCTCTAATAAGCATTTAATCACTTCAGCCCTTGCTCCAACTTTCCAGTCTGACTCCTAAAGATGCCTTTTCAAGTAAAGTTGGCAACTTTACTAACATTCATGGCTTAATGGGACTCTAGAGCTCAAAAGAGCTTAATGGATGGTCTTAACTCATGCTTGAACTCAAAAACTCCACAAAGCTTGAACCTTTATGCGAGAGGGA